GCTAGGGCTAGCAAACCCGTTAACGTCAGTTTTTCGCAAGCCAGCCCAAGTCCTCAACCGCAGTTGAACTCCCCCGCCATGGCGAGCATGCCAACGATGAACGGTAGCCCAGCTACACCGTATATGACACCGGCAACGAACGGTGTCACACTTCCGCCTGCTGGCAAAGGAGCTTAGAAAACTTTTATGTCAGAAGAGAGCAGTTATAGTCGGGAATCATCACAACCAGAAGTTCGATTCCACCCACTGTATCCGCTCAAGAGGCTAGCTCTGAAAGGGTCGAATACTAATAGATTACCCGCACCCCCTTTTTCAGGGCTGCTATAAAATGATGCCTGTGTGGAAGGCTATCATGCGTTAGTAATTGGAGACGAGAGACAGGTGCCAGTGTATATTGTCATCCTACGTTTTGCACCATCCTTGCAGCTCATTTTGTTGAGGCTTCGAAGCAATACCCGCACTAGATGGCATTATCCGGCAACAACTCGGCACAGGTGGCGGAATTCCATCCGTGAACCCCTATTTTCACCGTGCTCGGTCACTTAGATATCGCCACTTTGTTCGATAGAAAGGTTGAAACAAGAACAAATCCACGCAAGGGACAGATCGGAGTTTTTGAGGTTTGGTTATTGTACACCAGCTATTCTGAGGGGTCGGGAGAGACTTGCGCAATGCCCCGACTAATGGTGGGATTGAAGATCAGTGATAATCTGAATTTGATAGGTGGCCTGCTTCGATAGGCTACCATAATAATGTTTTGGCGGTGATGGCGGTGGTTATTTGTTCTGCTTGTTTAGTGGAGGCTGAAGTCTGGGTTGAGATTGACTTGAGACTGAAAGTCAAGTGTGAAGATTAGGTGCATCATTTCTATAAAAAGAGGAATAGGAAGGTTAGGAGTACAAGGAGTGGGATCAGAGCTGCATATGGCAGACACTGTATAAACAGAATCTTGGAGTCAATCAAAAGCTGTAGTGAAGCAGGCTACCTACTTTCGTGAGGTGCCTAGTTGATCACTATTTATTCTATTGTTGCGCAGATTGTAAAGGAGTCACGATTCCTTGGAGATTTAGACTAAACCCTGACGGTTTAGGGTAAGTACTTAATTGAGAGATGAACAGAGCTAATTCTATGTGTATTGTTTGTGCAACTTGTTCACCTTGTTTCTTTTCGGGTTGGGAATGATGAGACGCACGAGATATGTAAGACTTGGGTGGATGAGGGTTGAAGTGAGTAGGAGGTAGGTATCCTGATTTATCTGTCTGTTTTCCTTGTTAGTTGTTGAGCAGTCGTGTATGACATCAACAATCACGACACGAAAAGAATAAGTGGACGAAAAGGAGCAGAATGTATATACTTATTTCAAGACTCGTACAAGATAAAGCAGGGCTAACTACTAGGCTTAGTTAGATAGTGTAATTTAACGCAAATAGCGCTGTGCACATTGCGACGATGACACTATTCTCAGGACATACACCTTTCTGTATGCTCATTCATATACACACATTTCATGTAGGACGGAACGAAACAAAGTCTGGACAATAATTTGAGGTCTCAGATTTTGCCTCTCGTGGTATATCATCTCATCTGCCTTTACAATATGTGGTATATACATGAAATGACACCGTGACTCTCATAATACGGTGTAAGAGCGCGTTGAAGCAGCAGAGTTGTTGAATAACCCAAAACCGGAAGAGCTGCCAGTACTCCCGGTGCTCTCGTTTAGAAAAGCACTTGCAACGCCTGATGAATGCATGCAAGGTATAATTTTTTTTCATCCCTTTACCCCACCATGAACCAAATCCGTTTGAAAATAGGAAAAAGAGCCGATTATTGCGCGCTCCTTAGAGAACAGTTGAGTTGCCTCCATTTTCCCCGCCAAATCATCTATGTTGAACCACGATGCAGCCCCTACACGCCTTACTAGAAACAAAATAAACCCAGAACTGATAAATGAAGTCCGCTTAGACACCAGCGTCGACTCTCCAGCCCTCAACGGGGAGAGGGAAGCCTTGGCACCAGGAAGCGACCTCCTTCTTGAGGTCGTTGATTTTAGTAACCTCGCCGCTGGCCACCTTGGCCCTGAAGTCCTTAAGCTTGTTGGCCTCCTTGGGGAGGCTGGCCTGGACTTCCTGGCAAATCTTGATCGACTGGTCAATGTAGTCGGCAACGCGCTCAAAGTCCTTCTCACCAAAACCACGCGAGGTCATGGCAGGAGTACCAATGCGCAGACCACCAGGAGTCAAGGCTGACTTGTCACCGGGGACACTGTTCTTGTTGCAGGCAATGTTGAAATTTTCGAGAACGGCCTCAACTCGTGCACCATCCAAGGGTATGGGGCGCAGGTCGAGGAGGACCATGTGTGAGTCGGTACCACCAGACACCAGCGTGTAACCGAGCGTCTTGAACTTGTTCTCCAGAGCCTTGGCGTTAGCAACAACCTTCTGCTGGTAAGCCTTGAACTCGGGAGTGGCGGCCTGCTTGAGGGCAACAGTGAGAGCAGTGATGGTGTGGTTGTGGGGACCACCCTGGTGACCGGGGAAGACCGAGAAGTTGATCTTCTCTTCCAGATCATACTTGATCTCCTTTCCAGTCTTGTCGGTGCTGCGTACACCCTTGCGGAAGAAGATCATGGCACCACGAGGTCCACGGAGCGACTTGTGTGTCGTGGTGGTGACGACATCAGCGTAATGGAAGGGTGACTTGATGCACTCGGCAGCAATGAGGCCGGAGATGTGAGCCATGTCGACAACGAGGTAAGCGCCGACAGAATCGGCAATCTTGCGCATGCGAGCATAGTCGATTTCACGGCAGTAGGCAGACGTACCAGCGACCAAGATCTTGGGGCGGAACAATTGAGCATTCTCCTCGAGCTTGTCATAGTCAATAATACCAGTCTCAATGTTTACCCGGTAGGGCATGGTCTGGAAGTAGGTGGAAACAGCAGAGATCCTGCGAGGAACCGGGTCAGTGCTGCGATATAACAGAAGGACAACATGCAGCCATCGGATGAAGCTTACTTCTTAGCAGGCGTCTGATAGCCGTGGCTCAAGTGGCCACCGTGGGGGAGGTCCAAGCCCATGAGTCGGCCTCCGGGAGGCATGATGGCCTGGTACACCTGCAAGTTGGCAGGGCTACCGCTCAGGGACTGGACGTTGACACCCCAGTTGGCAGAGTCAAGGTGGAAGGCCTCGAGGGCGCGCTTCTGGCAGAGCAGCTCGATGGCATCGATGTGCTCGTTACCACCGTAGTAGCGCGCGCCGGGCTGGCCTTCCGAGTACTTGTTGGACATGGGTGATCCTAGAGCATCGAAGACGGCACGTGATGTGACGTTCTCGGAGGCGATGAGGATGATGGACTCTCTCTGGCGCTGGATTTCTTTTTTCTACAACGGCCGTCAGCGCGCAAGCCCTTCGAATGAAACCACGGCGTAGCAAAGTTATTGATGATGGAGACATACCATGATCTCAGCAACCTCGGGGTCCGAGTCCACGAGGGACTTCTCAAGCATCTAGAAGCGTATCAGGATCAATTCATTCGCGAGCAACTGGGATTTAGGGTATCCGGCCACTTACATCTCTGTGCTCCTGAGAAAGAGCGTAAGCAGCCATGGTGACGGTTTAGGCGGAGTGACAGGTTGAAGGGGTAAAGAAGCGAAAGGTGAGATGAACGCTGTGCACGCGTCTCTATAACAGGGCTTATGTTAGAAAAAAGAAGACGAGAATCAATGAAGAGGAATCGGGTTCCAGCTCGTGGGATTGAAGACTAGAGAAGGAGGAGTAGAAGAGGCGAGGCGAGGCGAGAAAAAAGTAGCAATGGTGGGGTTCGTCTGCTCAATCCTGCGCCGATGGCGGGAGATGGCGGGGGTGAGGTGAGCAAAGTCCCTGGATCTGCCTGGACACGCTAAGTGCTAGTGTCACGCTAACCATCCAGTCAGCTAGCTCCTACTATCTAATGCCAGGCGAGCCAGGTAGCTCTGGCCAGACTCTGGCCCAATGTAAAGACTGCAGGTGCTGAGGATAGCAACTAAAGCCTCGCTAAAGCCTGGATCAGCCAACCAAAATCTACCTATGTGTGCATCTGTAGCTCCAGACCTACAACCCTGATAGTTCACTGCCGATTCAGGACATTCCCGGCTCTGCTTTAGTGCCCACCCACCATGTCAATACACGATTCAGGTCTCTTTCGACTTTATAATATTCGGCTTTTTCAATTAAAAACCCCCCTGATGGCTACTATCTATCTCACACGTAGACAATTCGCCGTCCGTGAGCGAATGTACGTGGTAGTGAGCAGTTGTTTCGATGTTTGAGTCGATACTTTTCGTAGGTACCTTGATGAACACTGACGTACCTAGCATCTGACTAGAGTGACTGCTTACTACATGGCTACACGCAGAATCCTTCCCATTGTGAGATCCGTCCTCGATCCTAAATCTTGACTTTTCAATAATCTACACAGGATCATTGACGCGTTGCTGGTTCGGATGGAGAGATTGGGACCTGCTGGTATTCAACCATGAAAGCAAGTGTGTATGAGTGATCGAACCTATGAACTGGCAGGTGAATTAAGCTCAGGAAAGACTTTTCTTAAGATATAGGTCGAGTAGTGCTAAGTATCTAGCGGTTCGTGGGAAGCTGGGGGTAAGGACATGATAGGCTACAAGAGGTAGGGAGTAAATTCAATCAGCAGTTGACATTTCACACAGGCTGTCAAGATCTCTTGCTGCCAACACCTGGCTCTGTGATATCAATCATGATATCCAAGGTAGGACTCTTAAATGGCTATGGTGGTGGGTATCGTCACCAGCATTCTCATTTACATACTTGAGTAGTACGCAGATGCAAGTTTGCGGAACACAACGGGGCCTTGGTTTATGCTGCTTCAGGACTCGACATGAGTCAGTCAGCTCTCTTACTCTAGTTCGTGGCAAACAGACATAATGTGGTGAACATAGTGCGTTTGCTATTATATAGGCCCGAAAAAAAAGGACGTGAAGATCATCCGAATTGGTGTAGTGGCTAACATTTGACGCTCTCAACATCCCCTCAATTTGGGAAAAGGACCGTCAAGCCCGGGGTTCGATTCCCCGATTCGGAGAAATTCATTGATGTTTTTTTTTTCTTTTTTCTTTTTTCCCCCATTCTCTTTAGTTTAGCATGTGATATGGCACTGTGGGAGAAGGAAGGTACGAAGGATAGTGCCATAAAACTACCCCTCACAGTTGGTCCATTTGTCAACTACTCCAGGGCTCCTTCTCTTCTACAATATAAATTTTCACATTGCTATTCAACAGGCACACAAAACTCTAGTCGTGGTTTTAGGGCGCTACGACCTTAATCACTCTTGACTCGGGACGTAACTGGAAAACGTCGTTGATATCATACCTTGGAATACAATACTTAGTGTTATAGTAGCTATAACATAAACCCTAGCAGGTAGGAGCCGAGTGGCAATATAGAGTAGATTTAAAGAATCCGAATGAAGCACATTCAGAAATAACGTAGGACTGAGAGTATTGAAGAGGGATTTCATAGTAATACCAACTAGTCTTGATACGCGAAGTATCACGAAGTCGAAATCAGGGAGAGCAGATGTGAGACTACAAGTAAGCATTGGCAAAAGAGAGAATGACTTGCTATCACACCACGGACCGAGGATGAAACAACAGTGCATTTTGTGCGCCTAGTGAAGGAGCTTTGTAACTAACTACCCGTGTAGCTTGGATGATCGCCCTTACTTGTCGGACCAACTATAGACAGCTACCCTTTGGGGCCAACATACTTTTTGCTTGAATATAAACATGAGCACCATTGAGGCTGTCCACAACTTGGAAGGTCTAGAATTCACTCATTGCTACGTCCGAATCCTACACTTCCCAGACCGCATATGTTCCCATTGTGCCTTCGTTTGTAATCAGCCGGAACCACGATCGCCAGAGTGGTTGTCGGTCATGTCATAGCCGAGAAGGGCGGGATCGATCAGATGATAGAAGTCGTAGCTAGGACGGGCGTGATAGCCATCGTTCTCGCTCTCGGCTTGATGGACGACTTTCTCTGGAATGTCCTGATTGATACCCATGGGATTTTCTCCGTGGCTGGCGTTTGGGGTTTTCTTGCGAATTTGTCGCTTGCGCTTGGCTTGATGGACGGCTTTCTCAGGAGTGTCCTGATTGATACCCATGGGATTTTCTCCGTGGCTGGCGTTTGGGGTTTCCTTGCAAGTTACTGTGTTGCCCACAGATACTATGGATGATTTCAGTCAGCGATCAACACCTTTCAGCCAAAATACGAAGTAGTCTACAATCATGCGAAGCCAATGAAGCGTTGGTTGAGATATGATCGAAGCCCCCGCGAAGGAAGACATGATCTCAATATTTACTTACGTCCATAGCGAATCTTGATTTCATCCTCGGTTCCTTTGATATCATGACGACTGCGAAGGTGTTTCTTAATAGCTTCAAAATTCGGGCTTCGGTGATTGCAGCCAGACTCGTAGCATGGATAATTGCCTGGAGTCATTTTGTGCTGGTACGCGGAATTCTCCTTGTGCTTAGAAGAATTGTGGGATTGGATGTCTTTCTTGGTGTCTTTGATCTTACTACCGCAAACTTCGCCGCCATTCTTGGGTTTTAGGCAAGTGTAGTTTCCATCACGATCTAACAGAACATTCGAATTAGTACAACAACAAAGGTCCCCAAAGACAAAGCAGTTGTTCAGAATTGGCAAGGAAAAAGGCAAAGAAAAAAGCAGGGTAGGAGTACGGTGTATGCCATCCTCATCCTGGCTTATCACGCCACTTGTATTCTTGTATCCTCTCTTCGTGGGGGGCATCTTGTCTGTCGGTAAGCGTCGTTTTTGGCGTGTCCTGCGAAAGAAAAAGTTGAAGAGAAGGTTGAGAAGGATGCGCAGTGAAAATTTTTGAGAAGTCTAGCTTTATAAGAATGCACAATGGGTGCCTAGGGCACACTGCCAAGTTTGCTTTCAAAGCATCGCCGCGACGACGTGGTTGGCGAACTCTCTTAGTCTACCACACTGGGGCCCCCTGCCACTCGGCGACGTATAATCCTCGCGTAATCGCGTAAACAAGTGCTGTTTAGGTCCAGGTCGCCGTTCTAGCTGTTGAACTGTCTAATATCTTGAAGAATTACATTTGCAACATTAACATTAGATCAGGTGGAAGGAACCGTAGGCATTTCACGCGCATACAGAGCCAGCGTTAGATGTTAACCCTTGTTGAGACCAGGTTATGTGGCCAGAATCTCCCGAGAAGTGAGACGGTGGTGTTGGTAACCATAATATCTGTTTTGAGACTGGCCTATGCTTCTTTGTGATTTTACCCGCACAAAACTTCTAGAAGTGAAGGAAGCGTCTTGAGCAGTGATGAATCTAGGCTTGCAGAGTTGAAAGAAATGAACACTTTATCGTTGCTTCTAACGCCCTTAGAACAAGCCGGCAATCGGGAAATCATGAACTCAGTGACACAAGAGACAATGATACTCTCCCATAAATATTGCTCTCGGGGACTTAGTTTGCTGGAGGTATGTAGACTACACTCACTGTTTGTGCGCTGCTCAAGCTTATTGATTCATTGTCAAGTGTTGTCGAGTCAAAGCCAGGTGTATATTTTGATTTTATTAAAGTTGAGTGTAGTGTATATTTGGATTCGCAAGCTCGGGTAAGAGAGTAATCTACTAGACGTGGACTGGCTTCTAGAAATATTCGTCACCTTCAAAGTCACTTGAAACAACGGCAGGGATTCACATACACATCTAAGAGAAGCAAGCAACCTCGTTGGTCTATCAAGTTCTATTATTTGAGTAGGTGTGCTGATAGTGATGACCTAAACTGCTCTTTTTGGTTCGCGATGTATTCAAACTGTGATTTGTATGCCGGCTTCGTTGCCGAGTTGTAAAAGATTAATATCTACGCAGGTTAGTAATGGGGGTTTGCGCTTTAGTCTTCTACGTTCAACAAAACACACACATTCTACTATAATCATGCTGCAATATAGAAGTCCAACGTCTTTTGGACCCGATGAAAGCAAAGGCAGGATGTAGCCCATTCATAAGGCCTTTCTCAATTCTCAGGGCCTTAAGTTGAGACGGTAGAATGCGAGTGGGGGCTAAACAGGTCGATACATTTTCTTTAGATACCTATGGCTTACAGAAAAAACAAGGCTTGAGTGAATAGAAACAAATGGCAAAATTGTCGAGGAAGAGAGAATATGTGTAGAGTAAAGACCGCTGAGATATCATAGCCAATAGGGTAGGGCGTGCGAAAAAGGGGGCATTTGGCGCACGGGCCAGTACAGAGACAGACAGATATGGATTAAGCACTGATAAGCCCCTCCAACAAACTCACATGCAGTCGAGGTATGTTTAACCTACCCCTCCAAATCCGATAAGGAAAAAAAGTTGCGACTAAATCAAATACAGAGTCAAATCGGGAGTTGATCTCTACGAATTAAAATCAATGGCAAACTATGATAGTGACTCATCGGCAGGCGAAGAGGAAGATTACACCGAGACCAACGTGCTCCTGGGCTATGCCTCAAAAGATGCCGACGATGATGCTATCAGTCGCCTAGGCGGTCGCCCTGTAAGCCCTTCTTCGATTTACCAGGAAATAGGGACGATGATGGAAGGACTTGGGGACTTGGGACTTGGGACTTGAGGCTTGAGATTTGAGACTTGCTTACACATGACCATGTGCAGGAATGGATCGACCCCGAAACCCCGCCATCGGCAGCCCTGGCGAAATGCAATGTGTGCAAGGGTCTTATGGTCCTGCTCCTACAACTGAACGCCGAATTACCCGACCGCTTTGCTGGCCATGAGCGGCGCCTCTACGTCTTTGCCTGCCAGAAGAAGACGTGTCGCCGGAGAGATGGCAGCATCCGCGCCCTGAGGAGTTTACGCGTTGCCCCGGGGAGCAAGGTGGCAGTCCTGGATAGCGAGAAGAAGAGTAAGAAAGAAGAAGAGAAGGAGAAGCCAAAGCCGAAGCCGAGAGAGGAGCCGAAACCACCCAGTAATCTGGGAGAGACCCTTTTCGGCGCGACGACTCTGGGAGGGGCATCGGGCGCGAACCCATTTGCGACATCAACATCTGGTGGCGTACCGAGCAACCCATTTGCGAGCGCCAGTAACCCGTTCAGCGCACCCCAGCTCGCTGAGGAGCCGGCTAAGGACCCCCAGCCAAAAGACGATACAGTGACCACAGACGAAGACATAAAAGCGCTGCCCAAGACCTTTGCAGAGACGCTATCCCTCAACAACCCGCAGACCAACGCCCCACAGGCGCCTCCCGAGCCCTGGCCGCCCGAAGCTTCGCAGCCGAAGCCATACCCGATCTCCTACCTGTCCGAAGCCGAATACGAAACCCTAGATCCCACCCCACCGCCTGTCCCACAAGCCACAATGAAGATGGATGTCGAGGACAGCACTGGGTCGGGTGGTGGCAAAGAAGACAAGGAGGTCTTCGAGTCCACCATGGACGCCGCCTTCCAGCGCTTCGCCGACAGGCTAGCGCAGAACCCCGAACAATCCATCCGTTACGAGTTCGGCGGCATACCACTGCTGTACTCCAAGACAGATACCGTGGGTAAGGCTCTTGCGCCTTCGCAGCCCAATGAAGTGGGCGTGACTACTACTTCGGGTGGAGGAGTCAAGGGCATACCTCGCTGTCCTAACTGTGGCGGTGCCCGCACCTTCGAGGTCCAGCTCTGCCCGCACGCCATCACCGAGCTCGAGGCTGAGGAACTGTCCCTCGAGGGCATGGATTGGGGAACGATCATCGTGGGGGTGTGTGAACGGGATTGCCAGGCGAGGGGTGTTGACGAGGGCAAGGTAGGGTATCTAGAGGAGTGGGCGGGCGTTCAATGGGAGGAAATGGGTTCTGCGGCGCCGGGGGGTGGAAGGCGGTGATGAAGTCCGGGCTTGGCTTCTTCAATTGCGGGACGAAATTCGTCAATCATATCGGCCACGTAGGTAATGTCCAAGACGTGATCTTGGAGGGTAATGCGCGCTTGGCAATCACATAATTGCAAGTAGGTAGACCTTTCACCCTCCTGTCGCACTTGTCCAGATCCTATAAGGTCCG